CAGCTAATGTGTAGTTTTCCAGTCCTGTTGGGTCCACAGACATCCGTCACAGGTCTCCAGAGTGGCACGGGCTCTGGCGTGTTCACAGATGGTCTCCCTACCTGCCTGTTTTCCTGTGTATCATTCATTAAGAGAGGGCAGCCATCCACCTGCTGTGAATCCCACACGTGGCCATCTCCTTGGGCCTGAATAATTAATTTGATCAACCACAAGGCAGGAGTGTTGGTCTGAACCATTCCACAGGGATTACATGCACCCGGGGCCTGAGGCTCAGGAAGGCCTGGCTTAGCAGGCTCCTTCCTGGGCTCCGGGAGACCCTCCACTCTCCACTTAGGGCCCTGATCCTTGAATCCAGCCCAGATCCTGGGATTCTGTGCCTTGGGCCCTTTTCTTCTTCCACCTTTTCTCCACTGGCCGATCTCTTTCTAGCTGGCTCCATCTCTTACCTGAGAAAGCACATCTCCTGTGTTCACAGCCACAACAAGGCAGGGTATCGAAGGTCAGCCGTGAGGCATTCCATAGTCCACCTTCCTGCTTCTGATTACCCCAGACAGGGCTGGTGGCCAGCCCGGGGAGGGGGACTCCACCAGACATGGCTGTTCCACCTCCCCCCACTGTGATGCCGCTTCGCTTCCCAATCCTGCCCTCTCATCTGTGGGCAGGGGGACGACGGCCTTTTAAACTATTATAAGGGTTAAAAGATGACATTCCTTGTAGTTTAAGATGACACAGGTGAGAACATAGGCCGCTACTTTGCTTGCCATCAGAGAAGAAATATAGACGTCTCCACACTGTGTTGGGAGAGCAAGCACCTCTGTAAGATCAGTATTTTAAAGCACAACCATGATCTTAAAATGCTTGTTCCACATAGTTTTTCTACTTATTATCAAATAATTACGGCACATGAGACTTAAGGAAACGGAAGACTGACTTGGGAATCCAGTTCTCCGAGTCTCCCTCTGGCCATCTTGCTAACTTTTGAAAAGCGCATACAGACCACCTCCCTCGGTGCCCCTTCCTTGCCCAGCGGTGGGGAGAACTGGTCATTTGTTAAGATTTTCTCAGTTTCAACACTTGGCCACTCCCAGGTTTTCAGGCAAATTTAAGCATGATGGATTCTCTGTATTAACAATGTAATATTTTTATGGGCCTTGGGGATCACAAATTAGAAACAAATTTGGGCCAAAATGCTGATTTTCTAACATTTTACTTGAAACCTAAGAACCTAACAAAACCCTGATCCATTGCATGGGGATCTCTCTGAACTCCTGCTGGGAACGTCAGTGTGCACATGGACTGTGTTCCACTCGGTCTTTCTGCTTTAGTTTCTCTTTTTAATCTAAGTGTTCTGGATGCTTTGCTCTCCTTAAATTCACTTACTTGAAAGTAGACACTCACTTCAGTCTTACAGTATGAAATACAATCCAGTTGAGTCCTCTGCCCTCCAGGAATGCGAACCGACTGTTGTCCTATAACCAAGCCCTGGAGGAATGGCGCTCACATGGTACTGACGTCTTAGTGCTCAAATGAAGCAATCAACGCTGGGGTTCTAACACAGCGGAGCCTTTTGTTTGGGGTCGATTCGCTTAGAATTTATGTGTTTCTCATAAGTTCGTAAAAAATGGGCTTGGGAGGCAGCCACTTGCCACATCCCACTACCCACAACTTGCCTGGAGCTGCAGAAAGATAGCCCCACGCCCTGGTACACACCAGGCTAAAGTTCAGGTCTTTTTACACTAACGTGGAGTTGGCATATTAGGTCATTGTGCCTCATTTCTGTCGGTTTTGGGTTGTTTTTGCAGTTCCTAAGCCCCGTGGCTGGCTGCAGGTTCTGAAAGAAGAACATTCCTGTTGACTAGGGACTGCAGACGCCCTGGGCAGGTGGGCAGGTCTTGGGCAGGTAGGCGACAGGCCAGGTGACAGAGGTAGGGAGCAGGGGCGGTCAGCCACAGCAGGGACTCCCTGCAGGAGTTGGGAGCGCACATGTTCCTGGTTACTACCAGGCTCTGCACCCCTTTCTGGTTGTAATACCGCTGGGCTGGAGCGGCTCCCCTTTGAAGTCCTGGAGCTGGCTGGTGGGGAGAGCCAATGGGGGCTTTGGCCATTCAGACTTAACAAGTGGATGATAAACCTCCATCTAGCCAAGTCAGGGGGACGTGGCTCTCGGCTTGGTTTGTTAGCACTTAACTCTGGTGGTCATTGTTGTTGAAACAGGTTTCTGAAAACGACCCTTTCGTCTTCTCTTTGTCTCCCCCCATTAAAATGGCTGCGGTGGTGGGAGTGTGTGAATCTGTCCATTTCTTCCATTTTCTCAGGCTGCAGCTAATTCTGGGTGCTGGGCAGCCTCTGTGAACTCAGAATCATTTCAGGGCTGTGCTTTCTGATTTCTTCCTTCTGTTCAGAATGTGGGCTCCTTTTGACCCTCTCTGAAGTGTTCATCTGGAAGTCTCCTTGATGGTAGTACCTTTCCCCTTTTGTCAGGCAAAGCAATGGAAGGGTGGCTTTAAAATTCTGAATTATATCGCCTCCCTCATTTTTATGCAATGTCAATTTTGAGAAGAATTTTAAGATTCTTCTCAAAGAAGAGAAGTTTGCCTTTTTCATTGCTAGCCCCCGTAAGGTTTTCTGCCCTCTTAATCCATCTCTATTAACTTTGATTTCTTTCTTTAGCGGGCTCTTTGCCAGATGTGAGAACAGGTCCTTCCCACAAGCACACATTTAGGCTTACTTTGAATGTTTTGGTCCCCCCTGCCCCCCAATACTGTGCTACAGTATTTGGCCAGTGACTTTGTTTAGAAGAATCTCTTACTCTATCTGGCGGATGTGCTGATATTTTAAAGTTATTGCCTGTCTTCTTGTTGTTGAAGGCCTTTTATTTTTAATTCGTAATTTAAAATTTTGCCTGGCTGGTATATGTGACCTGTTTTTGCCAACTTCTGACATAAATCACACATGCATTCATGCCTCTGGTCAGCAGAGAGCCAAAGCTAACATTACACAGCGTGTTATTCCCTCCGAGCCTTGCCTGGGTCTGCCGCCCGCCGAGGAGAGGCCGCGGCCTCGGCCTTGTTTTCTGTTGGGAGTTGGTAGACCCTCTGCTCAGCACTGCTGTGCGAAGGGAGAAGAAACTCTCATTTTGGCCTTGACTGCTCAGCAAGACCACTACGTTCGTCTGTGGTGCCAATCTGACTTTTAACCCTGCGCCTGTGAGCTTGAGCCCTGGTGCCCTCATTCGCTCACTGTGACCAGGAGAGAGAGGGGTGCAGGTCGCTCCCCGAGCGTCGAGGCTGCCCTTTGCCCCTCCACCACCTCGCCGTGGGTCTCCTGGGTCCCTGCAGCGCGCGGTGTGAGTGTGGGGTGTATTTTCCCTGCTCTCCTCTTCTCTGCCTGGTCCTGGCTCTGGCTGGCACAGCCGTCTTGGGGAGAGCATGTCTTCCTGTTGGAACCTCGGTCTTCCTCGAGGTGTCACAGGGCTGGGATTCCAGGGGTTGCAGTGGGGTCAGGGTGTGGTGTCCCTGCACAGGCACCTGACACTGCTCTGGGAGCCGACCCTCAAGCTCACTCCTTCTGGTTCTTCCTCCTGGCTAACTCGTGGTGCCGTGGGTCAGGTCCTTGGGGATCTGGCAGAAAGCCTGGGGCCTGGGCAGTGGAGGGCAAGGGGCAGGGCACAGGCAGGGAGGGCGGCAGCTATGTAAGCAGAATGGCTCTGATGTCTCTGGGAGGTTCCCCTCCCAGGAAGGCCGCTGAGGGAGGCCACCGCTGCCGGCGGGTATCCCAGTCAGCTCAAAGAGCCAGGAGGAAGCCAATTCAAACACGCTTCCCAAGCCCCCCCCGCACAGGACAAGGGCATTCTGGGGCTGGGGGACAGACGGGGCAGATGATAACACAGCTCCCTGCTTGATCTTGGCCGGCTGATTTAAGCCCAGGTTTGGGCCTTTCTGGATCCTGGGAGAGAGAAGGTCTCCCAGTCCCCGCTGCCTCCAAGGCTCCATTAAAAAATATGGCCAAACTGACGTTTGCTTCCCTTGAGCCCATAGGAGGGCGAGGACACCAGGGGGTGAGGTAAAAACGAGCCCTCTCCTGAGGTTCTTTGTGTGTGTTATAGAAACCCAAATTGGATTGTCTCACAATTGCTCTGCACAGTTGCCATGCGATAGATCATTCAAGTAGTTGAAATTCCAAATCACATTTGCCTTTGCTGATTTGGCTGTAGACTATAAACACAGCCATGGACTAACCACTTGTTTGACTCAAAACCACAGAGAAATGATCCAACCATGACAAATTTCTATTTCTTCTCATCAAATCATGCAGAAGAGCAAAGATATTAATAGAAAGTACAGAGGGGAAAAAAGCTTTTCACTGATCCAGATATTTTAACATCCTGGTATTTGGAGGCATCTGGATAATTCACAGCTTCTTTTTCTTTCTTTTTTTTTTTTGGTTCATTTATCATCCAGATGTTTGCCATCATAGAAGCACCACTTGGAACTCGATTCCAGCTAATAATGTAGAGTGGAAAAATCCGTACCTCTGTCTAGCTGTCCTTTGGTCTCCCGCCTCCCCTCCCTTCTTCTAAGGACTTCTTCCTCCAAATCTCTTGGGAATGGGGCAGTTTTGCCAGATGCTTAGGTGTCCGCCTTTACATTTCTTTTTTACTCTTCACGCCCGTTCTGTACCCTGTCTGCTTGAATTATAGATTGCATTTGTCAAATAATGACACACGCACTTGAATGTCTTCGAAGACCTTTGAAATTCAACTTCCTTGAGTTCAGATTAAAGTGGTCCTCTCTGCTCTGCAGCAGTCGAGCCTGGGGTGGTGGGGACCTGCCTCCCGGGCCTCCAGGCCAACCCGCAGAGTCTGGCGGGAACAAACCCAGGTGCTTTTCCTTCTGAAAGGTAGACGTGGATACCATAAAAACTACCTGAAATGTGGCCTCCCCGTTGAGATGACTCTGTCCTCGGCAGCGTCCTGAATCTGTGTCTCTTTGGGCCTCCAGGAAGCATTGTCCGTCGTGAGCGAGGACCAGTCGCTATTTGAGTGTGCCTACGGAACGCCACACCTGGCGAAGACGGAGATGACCGCATCCTCCTCCAGTGACTATGGCCAGACATCCAAGATGAGCCCGCGTGTCCCTCAGCAGGACTGGCTGTCTCAACCCCCGGCCAGGGTCACCATCAAGATGGAATGCAACCCCAGCCAGGTGAACGGCTCAAGGTAAGGAGTGAGCTGGCCTGTCCTCCCGACCTCCTCTCCCCACCCCTGTCCCGCTTCTATACAGACTGCTGAGACGGGGAGGCCACTGAACGGTAACACTGGGTGACATGGAGAAAATGTGCTCTGCAGTGGTTCATGTTGGGGGTAGAGGCTATAAAACCAAAAACTCCCTTTGAAGATGGGGTGTTCGGTTCTCCTTCCCAGGCATGAGGGCTCTCGGGGAGGGGGCCATGTCCACATGTGGCAAAATTGATCTCTGAGTTTTTATTACTTGGAAAACAATGATGTCTTGCGCTTTGATGGAGGGAAGTGTCAGCTAGAGGCCAGGCCATGTCCAAGCCACCTGACTGAGCTGATGAGTCTACTCAGCCAGCCCTGACCCCTCTTCACCCTTCCCCGCTGCTTCCCCCTCCCCATGCAGGCTGGTTTTTCCTCTTTTTAACTCACACTTAACGCCAGGCTCCCATGATTGTTTCCTGAGTTCGTCATGAACACGTAGCTGTCACTGAGACTGTGTTATCTGGTGCACACCTGTCCCCAGCACGCAAAAGCATTTCTTTGGATGTACATTTGAAAAGTCCAATTAACTCTCATTATAATATGCTTTCCCAGATACGTTCAGGGAAGAGAATATGAAATCTCAAAACAAAGAAAGGTGATTTCCTCTAACAGTCACCTGATCTACCCTTCTCCGTAGCATCCTAAGAATGGTTCCCACTGTCTAGCACTCTGCTGTGTGAAGGTACTTTTATACCAGAAGCCCAGCAGCCCAGCAGCCCCTGAGCAGCCCCACGAGGAATGCTTATCCCTAGCTGGTGGCTGAGGACATGGATGACCGGGCATTTCCTAGATAACCCAGAAGTACCATTTAAAGGGGCTCAGAATTTGGGCTGAAGCAGGGTGTTGAGTGCCCACTGCTGTAGCAAGTCCTCTTTGTTACTTTGTGTATGTCTTAGTGTTCAGTGTGTGTAGTGCCAGGCTTTCTGGGCCCTGGAGACCTTGGCATTGACCGCTGGTGCAGGGTCAGCCATACCAGGTCATACTGCCCCACGGAGAATGTCAGCCCAGGGCTGAAGGCTCCACGTGGGGAGGCAGGAGGTGTCAGCACGGCCTGCGCTCCCAGAAGTCTGCTGTGCGCTTGGTACTTCCTGAAAGGTGGGAGTGACTTAAGTGACGAATGTGCTGTGACAAGCCCTGCGGGTAGAACGGAGGTGGGCTCCTCCCAGGTCCCCAGGAGGGATCAGTCCCAGCATTTCTAAAGGGCCTTGGTAGAAAGGGCAGGCAGAGGGTCCAGGACACCAGAGTCATGGGAAGTTAGTAACTTTGAGCAAATGTTTTTGTGCTAAATTCTATGTGTTAGAGACTGTTTCTTCTGAAATCATTAACATTATACTTTCTGAGTCTTAAAAGAATTCAGTGCAGTCAAGTTCTACAGAAAGCAGAAATGTTTATGCAGAAGAAGAGGGGGTGGGGCTAAGATGGCGACAGAGCCCAGTCCCTTTTGGAAGGAGTCCTACGGTCCCGTCCCCACGTGCTCATGTTGGGAACACCAAGAGCAAGATATGGCCCTAACGCTTTTCCTCCTCGGAGGCTGATGTCCACCTGTGGGGAGTGCACCTGTGTGGGTGTGCGTGGAGAGAGTGGGTGGCGATGGAGAGGGAGAGGACCTGGCAGTGAGCATGGCCGTGCCTTGGTCCTGGTGTTTAGACTGTGGCCTGGGCCCACGTGTAGGAAGGCCAGTCTGCTCAGGGCCAGCCTCCAAGAGCAGAAGGAGCAAGAAGGTGAGGACAGTGTCTCAGAAACAAGGGTTCCTCTGTTCTCTTGTGCTACTTCTGGGTTGATAAAACAGCATAAGACGAACATGCTGTGTGCAGGGGAAGTCCGAGCACGGAGCTCCTGGACATCGCCCGTGAGCCCCAGGGCTGGTGGCTGAGGTCCACTCGTCGTCCTGGTCAGGCCTGGGCAACCTGTCTGGCTTGTGTGGTGACCCCAGGGCCTAGGCACAGGTAACTTGACCCCGGCCAAGAAACACATTGGGGCGGCTCACAGCCCCTCACCCTGCAACTAGGGAAGCTCCCGGATGTACCTTCGCTCAGGAGGGAGACGAGACAGGTGCTGGTCTCTTCTGGGGACAGGAAGTCGTGTTCTGGGGCCTACGCTCCCTGCAGGGAGCACGGCACCTTTCAGCTCTCCCTCTCAGGCCTGGAGCTGAGGTTGGCTCATACTCTCACGGTAGGTGCTCAGCTTTTGAAGAAGCTAGGGATGGGGTTGGGCAGGTGGGTGCCCAGTGAGCACAGCCACACCCTCCTGCTCCTGTCCCTGACCCAGTGGGGCGCCAGCCTGGCAGGCGCTGTCCGTGGAGAAAGCTCCCTCCACCTGGAGTGAGGTCCATGTGCCTCCCCATCGGAAAGACTCAGCCAGGCAGGAGGAAGGGAGGCTGCGAGCTTCCACCCCAGAGCCTCGTACGCTCTTGACACCCGGTGACGGTGCCCATGTCAGCCAGGCAACCAAGAGGCGGCGTGCCCCACCCCAGGAACGTTCTGGGGATGCAGTGTGGGCAGGTGTCGGTCCTCTCTGCACAAGAGACAGGCTCAGTGCTCAGGACTGACTTTGCCGAGCCCAGTGTCCTCCGGACTTGTGGAGGCGGTGGAATCTGACCCAGTGTATCAGTTGGGTCCAGGAAAACAGCACCCGTGGGAGCTTTGAATATTGTAAGAGCTCTGTTTTAAGGAATCGGCTCATGCAGCTGCAGGGCTGGCAAGTCTGAAGTCTGCACACAGACTAGCAGCTCCAGCAGGATTCCTGCATCACAGTCTTGAGGCAGAATTGCTTTTCTGGGAAACCTCAGGTTTATCTCGGTGGGCCTTCAGTTGATTAGATGGGGCCAACCCACATTATTCAAGGTAATTTTTTCGTTAACTTAACTGATAGTAGATGTTAGCCACATTTACCAAATATCTTCATACCTAGATTAGCATTTGATTAAGTCCCTGTGTGCTATAGCATAACCACATTGTCACAAGAAACCAACCAACCAGGTGTCCGTGCTGCTCAGTGATGGGACCATTCTATTTTCAGATCTCCAAAATAGCATGCCCTGAGGTGGCCAGTTCCCTGACATTGAAGATACTCCACCTGGCTGGACAGGATGTAGTTGGGGAGTCAGGATCAGACTGATGGTTCACCAGGGATCTCTGGGCTCTGAGACTCACAGAGCATGGGGAGGTCAGTCTGTGGTGCCAGGGCTAGAGGTGGGGTCATGAGATGCCTGCCAGCCACCAAGGGGCTTCCTGCTGGCATGCCTGGGGCAGCATGACTCCCTCCACATGAGCAGCGCCAACAGAGGTGCAGCTCCCGCACGCGCCACCTTCTGCATCCTTCATCTGTGCCAAGGGGCCAGCCTGTCTCCTTGTCCTTCCAGCGGCTACTTCTAATTGCCCCTGCTCTGAGCTTCTGTGTAACGGGCTTTCCTGTAGCAGTGTGCCTCTTGGAGCCAAGTGCAAGGGGGATTCGGGTTGTCCCAGCTGGCTGCTGCTGGGACACGTGTGTAGTGACCTGCGTGTGTGTCATTCTTCTTTTGTGAAGGCCTCCACGGGAGGACTGCCCTCTCTGTAGCTCCTGTCTGGCCAGAGCAGGACCCACCTGCTTTTATCTAGGGTCTTAGGGCACGGCCCTCTGTCTGTCCCCATCCGTGCATCCCCCACAGAGGAAAAGGCCACGAGCTTTGAGAAGAAGGAGGGACTCAGTTTGTAACCAAGAGGCAGAATGCTGCAAACCTTAGCCCTAATGTGCTTACAGGCTCCTGAAGTGAAATACCAATGGTAGAGTGAGATCTTTCGCCATTGTAATAGCATTTCTGTAAAAAATAATAAAAGAAAAACTGGAGAGAAAGGAACCATGCTTTGTGAGCCAACAGGGGAGCCGCTGTGGGTTTGGCTTGGCCACCACAGGATTGCACGGCAGGATTCCTACAGGCATGGACCTGATTGCAAGTTGTGTAGACACAGGATACATTTGGCAGTCTCAGGGGTCCCTGTCTGTCCCTTCCCTTACTCCAGCCTCATTTAAAAGAAGCTCCAGTGTTCACACAGTGGGAAACTGGGCATGTGCGGCCGAACTCAGAGCAGCTGTCTTTCCGGCACGGTACACAGCGTCCTTCAGGGAACCTGGGAGGCTTGGCCTCTACCAAGTCCCTGCTGCTGCCTTAGTTCGCTGTGAGGTTCCGAAGGTTCAAGCCACTGCAGGCTGGCGAGACAGGCCAGGAGGCAGCGCACTCCCAGACGAGGTCCACGCCAAAGCTGCCTTCCCATTACAGGCAGGCACAACTGCAGGCCAGGCTGCCTTCCTCTGAGCATCCCTGGCCCAGCCAGCCCACCACGGTGGCCTCCATCTTTACCTGCATCTTTCCATGGTGATGTCAATTCCCTGCAGCCTACCTGGAGGCTCCCAACAGTCAGAACTTAATGAATTAGTTCTCCACGCTGCATGTCCTACCCACTGTCCAGTCCCCAAAACCCCCAGAGCCAGTCAGCGCTTGATTCTGTTGGGTGAGGATTCGCTTGGTGGGCTGATTCCCAAAGTGGGGTTCCAGGGCCACACCTGGGAGCTTGTTCCTGGTGCAGACTCTCAGACCCCTTCCGGATCCGAAGGGACCTGGGGTGGGGCCCAGAAGGCTGTGTTTTAATGAGCCCTCCAGGGGAATCAGATGCATGGGTCGGGGAAGCTCTGCTCTGCTACAGGATCCAGGAAGAGGAACGGGAGCGTGCCCTGCACGGGGCTGGCTTCCTGTTGAGGGAGTGGCAGGGGGATGCAGCAGGCAGGGCAGGTTCATTCCCAGGACAGTGTCTGCCTGAGTGAGGAGCACCTCTGACCCTCTCCACAGGGCACTCTGCCAGCTGAGCAGCAAGAGCTGATGTTACTTGGGCACTGTTCCCCATGCCATCTGGGCAGGGAACCCTGTGTGACCGCCGAACTCCAGCCTAGGATCAGGTAACAAGGTG